CGTCCCTAGATGCCTTGTAGATGTTGAAAGTTCCCCCTACATTTTGCCATGACATGCCACCAAAAAAAAAAAGTGTAGATCCCGGAAAATTAATGCGGAACTTCCACTGAAAGGAGTTTCCAAAAGGCGACACATGACTGCCAAGATCATTATCCTTCGATTTACAATGAAGGTGTAAATTTATCCCTAGTTCGATGTCGTTGTAAACGGTAACTGTAATTTTCTCAAATACATTAAGAGTGAGTGCAGCAGGGAAGACAAGCTTATTTTGTAAGAGAAGGAAAAAAGCAAGCAATACTAGACATTTGTTGAACAAATCCGTCTTCGTGAGTTATTTGGAGAGGAAAGAATGGGATTTTGAACTTGTGATGATGATATGCTATTGGTGGAGTCTTATATATATATACTCCCTCTATCTCATATTAATTAGTTGTTTTCTTGAGGAGTAGGATATTTTAAGGTGACATTCAATTAATGCATTATATACTTTTAAAATTATTATATATATATAATTAAGATCAAAAAATTTTAAAATTTCAAGGGGGTATTTTTGAAAATATGCTAAATATTTTATTTTAATTTTTAAGTGGGATATGTATTTCAGGATAACCCAAAAAGAAAAAATGAACAATTAAATTAAGATGAAAATAGTATATAAGAATGATGTAACATGAGCCTGTTATGCAAATATAATTCGTGGTTATCCTTATTTAAAAGGTATAAAACATTTTTTTTGATAAGTAAAAAAAAAAAGAAGGTAAAACATTTTAACTCTCCGAATTAAATCCTTTGGTCTAATAGAACCGAATTGATTAATTAAAATATATATATTATTTGCATCTCTATATTTTCTCTTATTATTAATATCTATGCATAAAGTGTCTAAAATCATATCATATATATTCCTGATTAAAAAAAAAATTATATCATAGATCCTCCGTATTTTGTTTTACAATTAGTGTATTTTACTCTCAGAATTTAACCTTTTTGGTCTAATAGAATGGTATGTGAGGCCAACTCCTTTAATTCAGTTGACCAACTCACTTGATAGAGTAATTGGAGGAATCGAGAAGTATTATTATTATTATTATATATATATATTTGTCATTGATAAGATACTCACACGCGCCACTTACACATCCAGCTCTCACCATTTAAGAAATTGAAGAGATATTACTGGACAACAAAACCCTTAATAATTGAGGAGTTTTTCGTTTTCCTTGAAATTAATGTTGTCCAAAATCCAAATCACATATCATAAAATTGTTATTATTATTTAATATTTTTATGTTGTATATACTTAATTTACTTCTTCTTCTTTTTTTTTTACTTTTTTTTTTTTTTTTTTTTTCCTAGTTGATACTCACATACACATGTCTTTTTCGAAACGGGGACCTCTAACCTCCCTTTGGGTAATAAGAGGTTGATACATGTAGATCACTGACTCATTAGTTCTTTGTCAATACTTCTTTATCAATAATATTTATGTAATCATTTAAAAATTTTATTGTTTGTTTGGCATGCAAGAATAGAATACCCATTCTATGCATTCTTTTGTTTGGTAGAAAATTTTGAATGGAAATGACCATCCGAGCTCATTATTTGAAATGAAAAGAATTAAAATTTATTCCACAACTCAACATATAGATTGGTCATTTTATTTCAAAATAAAAAATTAAAAAATAAATCACGATCCAAACAAACAATAGTAATAAGTTTTATTTAATATTTATTCAATCTGCTGCAGTAGGCTCAAAGAAGTATAAAAACACTAGTTACGATTAAAGTTTAAGAGATAGTTATTTATTTGTGCTCCCAATTGACTTGTAAGAGAGTCAATAAGTTATAAAGTCCAAAAGAAATATAATATTGGACAAGTTTTGATATATTATAGAATTTAAAAATTAGAAGCAAAAAAGATATAATATTGTTGAGAGAAAAAAGTGGTAAGATAAAAAAATTTAATTAAAAGGAAATTATATTGACCAACGAAAGAGTAATTCTATTTATTTTATAATTAATACAATAAAGGAGCATAATTAATTCATTAAAAACATATAAGTACCATAATGAGATTATTTTTGTGGCCCCCTTCGGTCTTTAGAGGCTTAGGCACCTACCTTAATCGCCTTAAGGTTGAACGGCCCCCTCTTGGAGGATTAACTGAATTATATATATATTATTTACAATTGTTTATGATTTTCTCATATTATTAGCATCTATGCATAGAATTTCTAACCATGTGAGTTTTTCAAAAATTGAGTATTTACATATATTTATGATTTTCTCATATTATTAACATCTATGCATAGAATTATTAACCATGTGAGTTTTTCAAAATTTGAGTATTTATAGTTTCTCAGATTATTGGACCTGCTTGGTTTGTAACTATATGTAAACTATTTTTTGTTTTTAGAAAATCGTACAAAAGATTTTGCTTGGTTTAGTTTTTTGAAATTTTTTTTTTTTTTTTTTTAAACTCAATTATAAAAAAACACATATTTTCAAAGAATTATAAAAGATTTCTCTTAGAACAGTTTTCTGTTTTCTGAGAACTATTTTCAGAGTTATAAACCAAACAAGCCAATTTTCGAATTTAAATTTTTGGCCAAATAGAATGGCAAGTGAGGTCCAACTTCTTTTTAAATTTAGTTGGACAACTTCTTGACAAAGTTATTGGAATACTTTTAGAGAGACGATATTCGCACTCCGCTTTTCTCCAATTGCACTACATTTATCATTTCTTTTAAAAGAAATGACAAGAAAGTCCTTGAATTTATTAATACACAATTCCTTAATTTATAATGTAATAACTATTCTTTATACAACTTTAATTTTTATTTTTTACTTTCTTTACTATTTTTTTTTCCTTTCTTTTTATTTTTTCCGAAGGTCCTCTTAAAGAAAATAATTTATTTTATACTAATAATTTTAATTTTGATAGTCAAAAGGGATAATTTATTCCATAGTAGATTTTTTTTTTTTTTTTTTTTTTTTTTTTTTTTTTTGTGGTATAATCGAAAGAGATATTTATTCAACAAAATTTACTTTTTTTTCTATATTGTCAAAAGAGATAACTTTATTTTTTGGTAATTTTTTATGGATCCTATTAAAAGAAATAATTTATTCGATAAAAATAGCCTTTTTTTTTTTTGGGTCTTATCAAAAGAGATAATTTTTTTTAATTATTTTACTTTTGTACTTTTTTTATTATTATTATTTTGGGGATCTTGACAATAGACGTAATTTATTCAATAAATATATATTTTTGGAGTTTTTTTTTCTTCATGTCAAAAGAGATAATTTTTTAAATGTTTACTTTTTATTTTTTTATCCTGCCAAAAGAGACAATTTATTCAACATAACAAAAAAAAAAAAAAAAAAATTTTGATCCCTTAAAAAAAAAAAAAAATTTATTCAATTTTTATTTTATTTTATTTGTATTGTCAAAAGATACTTAAAATATTAAATATTAGAAATAAGGTGAGAAAAAATGAAAGGATAGTTGTGTCATTTAAAAAATGATAATTATTTACCTATAAATGTAAGGTTAGAATTGTAATTTCATTTAAAATTGTAATACAAATGTTGAAAAGTAGAGTGCGAATTTCAAGTTCCTAATTTTAAGTACTTTATTGTTTACCATGAAATTAATGTTGTCCAAATCACATACCAATGTGGCCTACTAAAATCCTCCTAGAAGTAGTAAAAAATACTTTACGACTTTTATCGTTGGTGCAGAAAAATTTCATAGTCCGATCATTTAAAAAAGAAGAAGTTAAGGATAAGTTTATCCAAATGGGTGCTGATTTGCTTAGTGAGCTTTGCAAAAAAAAGCCCATCCAAAAAATATATATATACCTCTATTGAATAAATTAATTATTTCTTTTGATAGGATGAAAAAAAATTAAAAAAAAAAAATTTGTTTATACTAAATAAATTATCTGTTTTGAATAAATTATATTTTTTTACAAGATTTTTTTTTTATTTTTTTATTTTTAAAAAAGAGAGTCAGGTGAAGTATCATTTTGGCCTTCCTATGCATGTAATATTATTATCATTACAACACATATTGTCAAATGACTAGCAATTCTAAATTCTATTATTGAATTATTTTCTATATCACTAACTTTGGAGTTTATCACTAAGGAATAATGGCACTTCTACCTCAGCATATCCTATTATTGAGTATTTCTTATGTATGTTACGGACTGAATTCAATTATTCAATTATTTTGGTTGTGTGATTTCTCCTCTCTACTAGACCCCTAGATTGTTTTAAATGTGAATTGTTATTAAAGGTCGATCCAACAGGTCAGAATACTCAATCATCATCACAGGTTGCATCAATGGTTGTAAAAAAGGCACGAAGAATGAACAACGCAAGCAACATTAAACTTCTGCTCAATTAACTAAACCATCTTTGTGAGGTTTTTTTTTTTTTTTTTGGGAGGGGAAAGAAAGGGATTTCAAGTGATTTTATTGCTCGTAAACATACCATCTTAATAATATATGCTAAGGTAAAAGTGCCAATAAATTCTTAACGATAAACTCCAAAATTAGTGATATAGCAAATAGGAGTAATTCAAAAATAGAATCTATATATAAAAATAAGTAGTACACAATCATGAAAGCAATCATCTTGAAAAGCCAATTTGTAAATTAGGGTTTATAATAGAAATTGGGTTTACAAAGTGAATCTCAAACAATTGTATAACCTTCCTTAACAAATTATAAACTATCCTTGAGAAAGCTAAGAAACATATGTACAGACACACACATGGATTGGTTCGAATTATTTAAAATTTTGATAGGTTCCTCTTTCCAATTTAAAAATACTCTAATGTTTTAATTTTAAACTAGTATAAGAACTACAAGAAGAAGAATTTTGATGGCGAATTGAAACCATTATTGTAGTTTATTAAGCATGGTGCACAAAATAAAAACACTCCAACTATTACATCATATCGCTACTGATAAAGAGGTTGGACTATCACTCTACAAAATGGGTGTGAAATAGTATCACTCTACAAAATCGTAACTTCATGGAAAATTGAAATAACTGTATGGTAAATCACCCTCCCACATAAATCATTGGTTTTGTGTACTCTCACATTTTTTAAGGCTTGGGGAAAATGTCAGGAGTAAATTTTTAAGGCACGCTGAGACTGCCCTTAATCTTCATCGCACCCCTACATCCATCATTGTATCACAAAAACATCAAAACATAATTAAAGAACTTTATTCGTAAAGTACGAAATATAAAAGATTTGAAAGAGACTAATATGAAAAGAGAACGAGACCTCATGAAAGCAATCTGGGGGTTCAACTTGCAAATGGAGACCTTAACAAATCTTCATCCTTGAAAGAAAAGGTGGTATCAGGTTTTCACCTTCATATATACCTAAAATTCTCCAAAAAATCAGTAAAATAATTACACAAATAATCAAAGAATCGCATCAATTTGCGTATTCTAGCTAAATTGCGAGAACGCATAGTAACAATATATATATATATATATATATATATATATATATATAGCTGCAAAATGCACTGGACTGATGAGAGGGTTTGAGGCTTGTTTGATTATTGTAATTGATTCAGAATTGATATAAAATTGAGAATGAAATAGAGTATAAATAAGAAACCCTTACCTTTGCTCTGGAGTTTCAATTGGTCCTTGAGGTCGTCAGACTTGAGCTGAGCATCGGTCTGGTAAATTGGGCTTTGGTTGTTGAGTGACTATGCGAATGAGTAGGTGATTATTATTAAGACACTCTAAATGGACCATCTTATTATTAATTTATAAAATCGCCACAACTTGATGACGTTGTCCATACATGCTGCATTTCTGAGTTTTCAACCAAATTTATATAACTCACATCAACAATTTTGGTATGCAACTTCTCCATCATAGTGATCTTATTTTCACCATAGTTTGTAACATCACATTTTTGTTGATGTTTATCTATATATTGGTTGAGTTGACATAACGAAAATGGTTGAAATATTTTTGAAAAAAAATATTTCAAAATCAAACTACAGTAGGAAATGCGGTGGTCTAAAATTGAGAAGGTAGTTAAAATATATTTATATAATAATTATTTATTCGTGTCAAATTACAATTAAACATCTCTTTATACTTAAACTACCCCTCTAAATGGACCACCGTATCATTAATTTATAAAACCACCACAATTTGTCCATAGACATCTTCAAATGGTTATTTAACTCACTGAGTTTTCTTGTGACACAAAGGAGTGATCTTGATGAGGTTGTACAAGCTGCATCTATGGTTTCTTCTTTTCCTTGGGAATCACATGGCATTCAGAGACAAAATAAGAACTCAATAGAATAGAAGAACAAGTAAAAGAACATCCATGATTGTAATTACGATCCAAATCAGTTTCAAGTCATTGCTGGACAATAATTTCAGGAAGTATGAGAGAAATTCTTTTCAGTGCTGAAGAAAAGGTACATATTTTTTTGGTTGGTGAGTAAGTTACGTAGTGTTTAAAATCAAATTGGCATCATTTCTAGTTAAAAACATTCTGCATTCCACACAGATGCGAAAACCTTCAGCATTTGAAAAATAACATTTAATTCAGGATAAGGTATTGGGATAAAAAGAGATGAAATGTCTCAGTCATATCTCAGGATAAGGTTAACAGAGTATAGAAAGGACAAAGGTGACAACCACCAATGTACAATCTACACAACAATCACTAAAATATTCGTATAAAATTCAATACAAATTGAATTGATGCAAACCAATTTTTTTTTGGAAACTAAACTCAAAATTATACAATAATATGACTTTCCTTATGCTAGAAAGTTTCCTAATTAAATCATATTTTGAGATAAAAGATCATATTTTTAGATAAAAGTAAGCTGAATAATTTATAGACCATCTTCACCTTTCATCTCGCTGGCAAGGCAAAATCACTATGCAAGAATGGTAAATCAAGCTCATTTTTAAGGAAGCAACAGTCAAAAACTCAAATAAAACCACTTCTTTGCATTCTAAATATATTTAGAATTATTATCAACATATCTAAACGCAAAATCATATTTGAAACCCAAAGTGAACAAAAAGAGAAGTGAACATGCAGAAAAGGACTACATGACATTCAGAGACAAAAGAACTCAATAGAATAGAAGAACAAGTAAAAGAACAACCATGACTGTAATTACGATCCAAATAATTTTCAAGCATTGCTGGACAATAATTTTCAGGAAGTATGAGAGACATCATCCATTCTTTTCAGTGCTGAAGAAAAGGTACATATTTTTTTGGTTGGTAAGTAAGTTATCAACCAATATATATATATATATATATAGAGGTGTTTACTCTGAGGTTGGTTCTTCACCAACCAACCTTAAAGTACCATATATACTTCAAGACAGTACCAAACATGGTGCTTGGACCCTTAATCTGTAAACCCTACCGACCCTTTCTGTTCTGCAATTCATATCTCTACATTTAGTATTTTACAGTCCCGTTGGGAAGATATATAGAAAAAGAGAAATTCTAAAATATACAACATTGAATATCCTAAAATAAAATCTAATTGCATCATGAAAGAGGAATTATAGGTTTAAATACTAAGATTAACTTGTGGCATATCTCACATTTATGTTCTTTGGACAAAACTGCATTCAGTGCCCCGGTAATAGACATAATAATGACCTGACAAGCAAAAAAAAAATTTCAAAACTGAGATGGTTATCATTTTCTTGGTTTGAAATTAAAACTAACATGATTATCCTGTTCTTGGATATCATTTAGTAGCTATATTCCAAACGTCATAACTAACTAAAAAAATTTAAATTATATAGAGGCGATAACTAAGACAAAGGTCAAATCAATACTCTCGAATGATGAAATATATGGGACTGGACCGGACAAACACACTTCACATTTCACAGACACAAAACTAATCTAATACACAGAAGATAGAACAAACTAATAATTCCACAACGATAGAATTTTTTTATATTTTATTTTAATAATGAAACACAACATTTAGAGATAAAAAGAGAACCAAAGTAAAATTGATAGGAAGACTAAGAAAAATGAAACACTTAGGATTCTGCAATATATTTTGAATAATATCAGTTATTGTACAAAGAAAATTAAATAAATAAAATTCGTCACTTAAATCAAAGTTCCCAGATATCTCTCATAACGCAGAAGTTTCGTGTTGTCACGGGGGTTCCATTAGTTCAACTGAATTATTCTTCAAAAAATTTCACCCGAAACTCTAATCTCCAAGTTTTGTGGGCCTGTGTTGGGTGTATGTTCTTACCTGTGTGTATAAAGTAAGTAGAGACTTCCACCCACAAGGAGGTCAAATGAAGGATCAAGAAACTCTAATTGTAACAAGAGTACATTTTTACAATAAATAGCTGCACTTCAGTAACATTGATCAAACATAACTCACAAGATAGTAATAATTAAACACAATAAGCAATTAACATTAGACACGAAAAAAAATGCTAAAGATTCATATAAGTTTGATAAGTTAAGAGCATAACATGCTTGTCTATTGCTATTTCAAATAACTATCTTTACCAAAAATTTCAACTAACACCAAAAAAGTAGCAGAAAAGCCACACACCTGATATGCTTTGAATGAATGATCAGCTGCCTCTTTCCTCTCCTCACCTCACCAGACTTAAATTTAGCCAAAAATAATAATCCCCTTCCTGCATGCATCTAACCCCAAATCAAAACCCTAAACTACATGCAACATTTTTTTTTTTTTGAAACACATTTAAGCAAAATACTCACATCTTGTAGAAGAACACCGTCAATTCACTAGTAGGCTGGATAACTCCGATTCAACCTTTTATCAATTCATTACCTCCAGCATCCTCCTTTTGCTCTAACGAAGAAAAAATACGCCTCGGAGCCCTCCGAGCTCTAATCATATTCTTGTACCGAGCAAATTCCTCTCCTCAATAGTCAATTCAACATCTACCTTTGCTTCTTTCTTCATGGAATCGTGTGCAAGAGTGCAATAGTAAAAGATGAAAACCCTAAATTAAATCTTGGTTATCCTATTCCTCCTATGTACAAAACCCAAATCGCGAGTGAGAAAAATAGTGTTGAGTATGAAAAACCTAAATCAAATATTTGGTTCTTCAAAACCTTAATCGCATGTGAGAGAAAAGTTAAGGTCTATGTCTGATAATTTTGAATTATAGATGATTTCAGAATGAGGGAGATTTTTTTGGACCAAGATCACCACCAGTTGCATAGTGCAACCATTTGCTCCATTTGAAATAAGTGGCTGAGAATGTGCCACATCAATTAAAAAAATTGGGTAACTAATTTTTTACCATCCTTTAAATATTGTATTTCAAATATATATAAACTTTAAATATTATTCTAAAATATGTTTTGTCTCTCTAAAAGCTACGGTTGTCTTCGTTTCTCTCTCTAAAAGGAAAGAAGGAAATAGTACCAATGGCAGTTTGAGGCGAAGAAGAAGAAGTGAAGAACATCAGTGAGGCAAAGAAGAAGGAGTGAAGAACAGCAGTCTGAGGCGAAGAAGAAGTGAAGAAGAAAGGTCTGAGGCGAAGAAGAAGGGAAGAAGGAAGGTCTGAGGCAAAGAAAAAGGGAAGAAGAAGGTCTGAGGGTTAGGGTTTGAATTTTGAATAAACAAAGATGAAGAAGAAGGGAAGGGAAAACGAAGAAGAAGGGAAAAAGGTCTGAAGCTAGGTTGGAAAAGTTGGGATAAGTTGAGATGCACCTTAGGAAAATGTTAGGATTCACCGTAGGAAAATGTTGGGATACACTAGAACAGCGGTGAGGCGAAGAAGAAGAAGTGAAGAACGGCGACGAAGAAGAAGGAAATAGCACCATTTTAAATGGTACACCACTTCAGGAAAATGTTGAGATTCACCTTAGGAAAATGTTGGAATGCACTTTACAAATAAGTTGGGATGTTTGTACGAAAATGTTGAGATTCACCTTAGGAAAATGTTGGAATGCACCTTAGGAAAATGTTGGAATGCACCTTAGGAAAATGTTGAGATTCACCTTAGGAAAATGTTGGAATGTACTTTACAAATAAATTGGGATGTTTGTACGAAAATGTTGAGATGTACTTTAGGAAAATGTTGTAATGCACCACTTTACAAATACGTTGGGATATATGTTACGAAAATGTTGAGAAATTGTTGCGGCTACAGTTGGGAAATTGTTGTGATGTAGTAAATAAGGAAATAGTGCTGTTTGAAAATTCAAATTTTATTTTCAAGGAAATCCTCTTATTTCCATAAGAATGGCAGAAATAATGAAATCGTACCTCTTGCTTCTATTTGGAGAAGTTTGATCTGACCTTCAGTTTGGAAATAGAATCGCTTATTCTATTTCGAAATAAAGCCGGCTTCTTGCTTCTATTTGGAAAGAAATCAAAATTTATTTGGAAAAAAATCAAATTCTAAACTGGGTTGATTGATATTTTGGGAGAGAAAAAGGGTAGTTGGATGGCGGGATTTCAATCGAAATCTATTTGGAAAGAAATAAAATTATTTTGGGAGAGACAAAAGGGCTGGGTGGCGGGATTTTAAATTTATTTCAAATGGGTTGCTGAAATGAATAAATAAAATCTCTTTATACTGAATAAATTATCCGTTTTGAATAAATTATTTTTTTTACAAGATTTTTTTTTTTTTTAAAAAAAAAGCAAAAAAAAAAAAAGGGAGTTATTTCGGTTAAATAAATTCTTTTTTTGACAAAAAATAACAAAAAGTTATCTTTGTTAATAAATTATCTTCTTTTTTTTTTTTTCCTCGTAATAGAAACGGCATCTACAAGAAACTGATCAAACTACATACAAACCACAACTAAAGACGTCCAGCAAGAAACATTGCCTAGCTGATGGGACATACACAGTGCAACACAAGTATGATGAGGCGCATAAAACAAGATTGGGGTTAAAATGCGGGCTAACAGGTCATTAGGCCCGTGTGACTGCCTCACCAGCCCATCCATGGATTGGACATCAATAGTAGAAGCCAAAAAGAAGGATCCGAACGCACCAGAACATACTGGATAAGCACCCCATCCCACGCACCATCATCGACAAACACCGTAAGAACACCATAATCGGAGAACATCGTGAGAAACGACCAAGACTGCAACGAGTGATAAGTATCCCACAAAGGGATTTGAGAAGTATTTGCGTGGCCTAAAAAAATCGAGTAAAGAGCATGTGTTTCCTTGAAAGAATTATTCAGAGGGCTCCCAATAGTGATAGTATCATGGCCATGAACAATTAAACACCAATGTTGAAGGACGTCGGACTCTTCGAGGCTTAAAGTGGCAATACCATCGTGGTGGTGGCGGGGTAGCTTCCAAGCCCCATAGACCAAGGCTACCGGTGGAACCTCATCGGCAACCACTGATGGACCCAAGGAAACCCAATCCAACAGCAAGGCAAGACAGACACCAACACAACACACACAGAAAATTAGAACGAAAAAAGAAAACGACCACAATACCTAGATCAAAGACCACAATACCTAGATCAAAGGGAAAGAGCGATGCAGAAGCTACAAATCCAAAAGCATACCACACCGTCCACAACATCCAAAGGCAAAACATAGCATGGGTAACACGGCACCCAAGCACCAGCCTATGTAATCCACTACCTAGACTTGGCTCAGTTTTAGCGTCAGGGGCCAGGACATAGATACGGTTAGCCGAAAGAGAACTACCCATCCATCGACCCAACAATAATTGGGCTTGAATTTGGACTAACCCAAACTCCAAATAAGTGACAGGTATTGGGTTCAGCAGCGGCCAGCAAAGTAGGACAGAAAACTTAGGCCAGCTTATCAGCAGGCCCATTGGGCATCACCCCCAACTCAGCCCATAGATGTGGACTCGGTGGACCTGCCAGACTAGAACATTCCTGCCGGACGTTGCCTCAACACACCATAAATTTAGTCATAATGAACTTTGACTGGTGAGGTAAAAGTTGACACGCCACTGTACACCACGCAAACCAAGGACTGCGTGGAGGAGAAGGAAAACTTGCTGGAAATGATGGAGAAGTTGCCGGCAAAACGTCAACATCGGATTCTCCGTCAACAATAGAGAAGCACCGCCAATCAGGTCGAGAAGCGAAAAAACCGCTTCACGGAATCGCGCCGATCATATTAATGATTCCGTCACAACCCATCCGCAGATCATAGTTCATGGTGGCTAAAAGGAATAAAAGGAAAGTCCGACGATAAAGATAAACAAAGAACTAAAGAACAATACCTGGATTGAATGGGAATAACATCTAATACGAGTCAAAAATCCTTTCAACTCGTAAAAACCTCGATTGGACCACCCTCGACTGCATACCCTGACTGAAACCCACCAGAGCCCAACCACACAAGACCTACCATAGCCCGATCCACACCAACTGGGAACACCCCCAAGATCGGAGCCGACGACTAACTCTAACCAACAACCAGCACATAACAGAGGAAAAAACACACACCAGACATCACCGCCAAGAACCCACCCCAAACAAAAACAAAGAACAGATGCAACAACAACACAAGAAGAAACCACCACGACCACAAGAAGTAAACCTCACGATCAAATCGAAAACGGAAACGCAAATAGCTTGGAACAAGCATCACTCGCAACCCACAGCAAGATCAAAGAGCAACAGCAACAAGAAAGAGAAAATCAAAACTCTGATGGCACAGAGAACTCAGCAAAACTGAGAACTCTTATGAGAGAGAGAAACTGACGATAATGGTTGACTTATGCATAAACATACTTATCTTTTTTTGACAAGACCAAAAAATAAGCTGATAGGACCTTATTAAATATAAATAATGGAAAATTATATTTTGGTGACCAAAATTAAACAGTTCTATAGTGACTTTAAAGTCAAGAAAAGGTGAATAGTGATTAATGTTGAAACTTAATTGATATTAATTGACCATTTGATGGTTTATTACCTAAATAACCTTCTACCTTCTTATAATATATTATTATGTAAGTGGACAAATTTACCCTCTACATTAACCTAAATAAACACTTACTTAAATTAACTAACAAAAAGACAACAAATTATTAGGGTAAGTCTCTGAAGAGAAGACCAAGATGGGAAAGAACTGAGGACGGATGTTTTACATTGTTTTCTTCAAGGTTCTAAGAGGCAGGACGAGAAAATTGTAAATTTTCTTCTTATTCATTATTTTCAAGGTATAGTTATTATACTTTACAAGTTGATTTGTCTGAGAAATCTTCCTTAAGATATAAGATTGTAATTTTTAGGAATTTTTTAATACTACTTAGTTATAGTTTAAGAAATAATGGCCATTGTTGATTAATTTTATAATTTTGCCAACTGTTAATGGGTGTTTCAAAAGTATGATTTGCCACTGTAAATGTTATGAGCGTCATGGTGGGAGCCTTGAAAAATAAATAAATGGTGGAAAAGAAATAATGTTGATAAAGAAATCTTAATTTTTTAAATTGGTAAATTGTAAACTAACAAGGAAACACTACAAGAATTTGGGTTATTGGTGACAGTCCTTTAGGGAGAGTAGGAAAACTGTCCCTAAAGACACCCTTTTTGGTGACACTATATTCCTTCCCGTCCTTAAAAGACCAAAAAAAAATTAGCGCCCCCTCCAATCTGCTGGCGGCAAACCTTAGCGCCAATTTTGGTGAAATTATAAATTTTTTTTAAAAAAAATTATCAAAATAGCCTTTTGGGACGGTAATGTTACCATCCCAAAAGGATATTTAAGTGAAATTATATTGTTTTAATAAAAAATTATCAAATACGCTTTTGGGGCGGTAAGTTACCGTCCTTAATTAACTGTACATATATAAAAACGCCGTAGTTTTTGTCAAGTTAAGTATATATATATATATATATATTTCTTATTCGATTTGTCTGAAGATTTTTTCTAGCCGACCCTGCTATCTCGATTTCTTCTTCCGTCCTCTCTCTCAAACTGGTTTATTCTTCCCCAACTGATCTCTTTCTTTTCAATTAAGTATAGATCTGTATATGTAATCCATGAGGGATCACTCTGCTAAATTTCTTATGCCCTAGGTCGATTTTCTCCTTCCGTCCTCTCACTCAAACTGGTTTGGTCTTCCCCAATCGCTCTAATTCAATTCAATTGAGAGGCAGCAAAGTCCGTCCATCAACAGGTTCATTATCTTCTCACAAAC